AAGGAATACACTCAAAAATCAGATATCTATTCTTTTGGAATAATTATGTCAGAAGTTTTTACTGGATATCCTCCATACCATAATATTCCACATGATTTCGGTCTTGCAATTAAGATTTGTAAAGGTTTCAGGCCTAAAATTAGATGCGAAGTTCCTAATCTACAGAAAAAAGAGAAGCCCTTAAGCGAGAATTATTAGCCCAAACCAGAGCAGAATGTGAAGCAACAAATAAAGCTCTACAAGAACAATTGGAAAAACAAGAAAAACAAAATCTCGAGTTGGTTCAAGAATTACAGCAAGCTAAAGATGAGAATGATCTAGGCAAAATAACCAAAATAATGTCCATGATGAAGGACAACGATAAAAACTAGCAAACTACTCGTTTGGCAATTAAAAAAATGATGGAAGAAAAAAACAAGCAAGAAAGAGCAATTAACGAGTATATTCAAAATGTTGATAAACCATGATATTCAGATATAAATTTCTCTTCGCCCACTTTTGGATCAGATGAATAGATATTTAGATGCAGAACCTCAAAAGTGACCAACTGCCGAAGTATTTATACAAGTCGATCTTTGAATCTTTCAAAACCCCCTAAACCAGGTAATAGTATTTATTTTTATTTTTAAAAATTAGAATGTTATTAATTGTAAAAATATCTGAATCGGCCAATATAATAAATGCAGATAACAATATTTATTTTCTTACCTATTTCAATGTACAATATTAGTGATACGAACTGATGAAAATATCTTGGGCCGAGATGATCTTAAAAGATTTGGGCAGGTTGACTGGGCCGCCCAATTAGATTTTAAATTGTAGTTTTAGTATATTTATAACCCTGATGGTAAGTAATATACAGGATCTTTGCTAGGAAAATCACCCTTTGGGGTTTTCCGATTGAGCTAATTCGGAAAAGCTTAGACCGTTCTTATTCAAATGTAAATTACCTTTTACTTTATTTATTCGATAGTTTATTAAATAGACTGCCGAATCAGTAAAGTAAAAAAGAGTTTTACATATGAATAAGAACCAGCATTATAGTCTAAGCTTTTTTGAATTAGCCCGATCAGAAAATCCTGAAGAGTGATTTTCCTAGAAAAGATCCCATATTCGATTTATTTATAATCAAACAAATTTATTACTCATTTGTATATTGGTATTTAGAGTAAAGAAAGCTATTTATTATTGCCATACTATAATTATATGTAGTTATAATTTTAGGATTAGTGTTGGGCTAGATAGAGTTGGTCGTATTAGGTTAGGGTTAGTTTAGTTCGTTAGAGTTAGGATTAGTTTAGTTTATTAGAGTTAGGGTTAGTTTAGTATGTTAAAGTTAGGGTTAGTTTAGTACATTAGAGTTAGGGTTAGTTTAGTATATTAGAGCTAGAATTAGAATTAAATGGTTAATTTTAGATATATAGTAATTATTTTAAATTTGTGATGAATTTTTATACACAACGATTTCGAACATATTTGTTTTTTTTTACTTATACTTAATCAAAAAAATTTTTTTTAAAAAAACAAAATATAGAAAATTCAATTTTTATTCAAAAAGAAAAATATACAAATAATCGCTAACTAGAATTTACTACCGTACTGTATCCAAAATCTAACTATTATGCTACATACAATTCTAATATCCAAATCTAACTACTATATTTTAATATCCCAAATCTAACTACTGTACTACTTCTAATTCTAACGTTCTAAATCTAACTACCTTCCTGAATCTAATTATCATGCTACATCTAGTTATAATATTATAATTTTAACTATCGTGCCATACTACATCCAATTCTAATATCCTAATATCTGGTTCTAATGTCCCAAATCTAACTACTGAGCTCTAATATCTTGTTATATCTATTTAGAATCTAACTACTATATCCAGTTCTAATTATCTATGCTACATTTAGTTTTAAATATTATGCTACAGTATGTCTAATTCTAACTACATGCTATGTTTAGTTCTAACTACAGTGCTATGCCCTAGTCCTAACTACTATGCTATGTTATCGTGTTATGTCTAGTTTTAACTGCTATGTAGTGGCACTAAGACGACAAAAGCCTCAAGACTCTGCAAAATCTTTAGCAATTACACTAGTAAAGTCACCAACTTAGTAATACTGTAATAGTAGTACAGATTTATACAATGATCTACATTATGCATATTGTTTATTTGTTTATATTTTTTAACTAATCAAATCGAATGTCCGCCATGCTCTCGTACTTAAGGATTAGAATCGGTTTAGTCAACTAAAAAATTTTTATAGTAAGCTACTATGTTTAGTCGACTAAACCAATTCCTCGTACTGTGTTGAAACTTTAATAAAAAAAAAAACTACCCGAAAACTAAAGCAAATGAAAACTCGAACAAAAGTATCCCGACCCCAGCAAGCACCACAAAATTCTCAAAACAATAAATCGATCAGAAGAAGCCCTCGAAGAGACAATTCATGCACCTATTGTAATGGAGATCATGTAGTTAGTAGGTGCCTGAATGTGTGTGTACTTAAATAAAAATACAAAATGCCTCTTGCAATACTTCGGAATAAAGTAATGAAAGATTTAGTGATAATCTTAATGGTAAACAGATTTCTAAAGCCCTAAAATTTGTACTAGAATAATTACAAATTACTGTATGAAGTTTCAAAAACCTGGGCACCCAAAACTAAAAGGAACAAAAAAACTAAACCCGAATATAAGATTGTTGCTTCCTAACAATGGATAATAAAACAAGTGAAGATTGTGAAAGTGAAATTGAAAAGGATTTTAAAAGGGTATCTACCAGATATTCAATCATTATCAAAAATCGTCGAGGATAAAAGACATTTTTCACTTCTATACCGAGGATCGTTAACTTCAGGTTGTATCTGTATTATGATAGATAGTTACAGTCCATGAGTATAAAATTAATTTACAAGAGCATATCATTTTCTAAGAAAGGTGCATAGCTAATTCCTCTTTACCAGAATGGAATTAGCAGACCTTAGAATCCACCTCTTATATTAAAGTTAACCTCACAGCAAGGTGTGCACATATCTATTCCCTATTCCTCTTCTAATATATTTGTTGTCCTGCCGTGTTTGCTGATTTGTTGTGCTTGTTATCTTGTAGTTCTTACCTGTTGTTGTCTCACATTATGTGTACACACTTGCGATTCTCGTTAGTAAAGTGAAAATTACTAACCTATAATTAATGCTAAAGCTTAATTCACTTCTGCACCGAGGATTGTTAATTTCAGGTCGTATCTGTATTATGATAGTTATACCTGTGAGTATGGAAATTAATTTACAAGAGCATATCATTTTCTAAAAAAGGTGCATAGCTAATTCCTCTTTACCGAAACAGAATTAGCAGACCTCTGAATCCACCTCTTATATTAAAATTAACCTCTCACAGCAAAGTGTACACTTATCTATTCCTCATTCTTCTTCTAATCCTTTGTTGTCGTCGTAGTGGTTGTCCTGCCATATTTGCTATCCTTGTCGTATTTGTTGTTTGTTGTTCTTGCTGTCTGTCGTATTTGTCGTTTTTGTTGTCTTCCATGTGTACACCATGCTAGCTCGTTAGATTCCCACATTTTAAAGTAAAAACTACTAACCTATAAAGGACCCCGAACAATCTATATAAGATCATATTTGAAAAATTGCTAATATGGGCCCTTTTTTAAAAAAAGGTTATATT